ATGTGTGAGAGGGGCTGAGGCAGCAGCAGCCTGGGGTCCAACCCGAGGGGCTGAGCCACTGAGGAGGAGGATGGAGGAGGTTCTGGGCTGGATTCTCCTGGGTTTTGGCCCCTCAGTTGGAGGAGATATTGAACTCCTGCAGGAGGAAAGATGAATTCTAGAACTAATAGGAATGACAGGATGGTTTGTGTCCCCTATAAACTGCTTTCCCCTGGACCCCAACCATGGCTTTAAATGAAAAAGTGCAGCCCCCTGTACTGAGAGCTGAGGGGGGATGGATTCCTGGGAGGGGAAATTCCTGGATCTCTTGCATTTGTTCTTTTATTCTAGGTCTTTTATTCTTGCTGTAACTCACATCTGTGAGTGACCCCCGTGCCCAGGGCTGTGTTTCCAGCTTCTCCTGGGAATTGAATGTTCAGACATCCCTCCATCTGTGTTCCTGGAGGGGTTCTCCCTGCAGCAGCTGCACTGCAGTGCTCACACATCCCTCATTCCATCCAGACAGTTGGGAATGTTCACTGCAGTTGGGAATGTCCATTGACAGCTGGGAATGTTCATTGACAGCTGGGAATGTTCATTGACAGTTGGGAATGTTCATTGACAGTTGGGAATGTTCATTGACAGCTGGGAATGTTCATTGACAGTTGGGAATGTTCATTGACAGTTGGGAATGTTCATTAACGCTGCTTTTCTCGTGCCCAGTGTTCAGAGGAGGGTTGAACACAGAACCTTTCAGTGCCACCAGTGTCTGTGCACGGGCACAGCTCGACAGGCACGTGGATTCAGGGGCAGTGGGAATTCTCTGGGCTCTGTTGCCCCAGCTGGTGCTGGATTAAATTCAATATTTCATGACTTCACTTCAAAAATGCCTTCAGGGTGGCTGGAGCACGGTGGGACAGGACTCACCTGCTCCTTCCAGGCTCTTTCAAAGGGCAGCTCTCACTCCCAGCTGGTTTTTTCTCCACACACAATCCCAGAATCACGGAATGAGTGAGGCTGGGAAGGAACCATCAGGAGCTGGACTTCCATGATCCTTGTGGGTCCCTCCTAACTCAGAATGTTCTGTGGTTCTGTGGCCACAGTGGCCCCCCTGGTCCCACATCCCAGGGCACGTGGCCCAGGGTTGTGTCCAGATGGTTCTGGAGGCTGAACAGCCCCAGCTCCCTCAGCCTTTCCTGCTCCCAGAGATGCTCCATCCCTTCAGCATCTTTATATCCCTTCATCCATCCCCTGGATCCACTCCAGGAGCTCCCTGTCCCTGCTGTCCTGAGGAGCCCAGACCTGGAGCAGGCACTGCCCAGGGCTGAGCAGAGGGTCAGGATCCCCCCCTGTGACCTGACCTGACCTGGTGGTTGCCCTGGCATGGTGCAGAGGTGCCAGCCTGGCCCTTGGGGAGCTGTGTCATCCTAACTGCACACAGCAAAGAGACAGAGAGGTTCATTTAATGGGAAATTTTCCTTAATAGGTGCCTTTAAATTACATGCAGGAAGAGCTCACTGAAGGATGGTGTGGTGTAATTTAATGCTGGGTTAAATGATACAATCCAATGCATTTTCATTAGATGTTCTGAGACACTTCTCCAGCATTTTATGCTTTAAAGGCTGTTGGATTGCCAGCTGCAATAACTATTTTGATTGCAGCCTGAGCTGATGGTGGGCATCCTACCAGAAAAATAATGTGCTGGGGGTTTAATTATGGCACCTGCACTCCAGAATGGGAGCCTGAGTCACTGTGTGTGGTACAGTTGTCCTGGATCCAGTGGGATGGGATAATGTGCAACAGATGGAGGGCAGAGCCAGGGAATGTTCTGTTTTAGGGCAAAAGAAGTGTCAGGTTGTGGGTTGAACCTGCTGAGCAGAGCAGGCAGGGGGGCTTTGGCTGGTGCTCAACTCCCTTTGGAGGTGGATGATGGGACAGTTTTCCACTGGGGAGGGACTTTGTGGCATTAGGGAGGGTGGTGGCACATCCAGAGGGGATGTACCCAAGGAAGGGCTGGATGTGGCACTGAGTGCTCTGGGCTGGGGGACAAGGGGGCTCTGGGGATGGGGCACAGGGGGGATCCATGGGCTGGGAGGGCTTTTCCAGCCTCAGCAATTCCGGGATTCTGTGAGTGCAGATCCCACCTGGAGCCTGGTCCAGGCTTGACCCTCGTGGCACTGCAGGTTTTCACCCCCCTCAGCTCTCCCAACCTGTCCTGACTCAGAGTTTGCTGTCCTGCTGCAGGGGGGGGGACCCAGACCCCCAAAACATTCCGGGGCAAACCCGAGGGGGAGGCAGGAGGGAGGGCACAAGGAGAGCAGAGGATTTCTGTGCTGCTTTGTTTGGGGGATATTGATTTTTGCAAGGACAAGCTCCTGGAGTGGCATTTCTGGCGCTTGGGCTCATTTGGTTCCTCACAGCAGGAGCAGAATTAAGCCAATGAAAAACACATTGAAAATCTCACACACAATCAGTGTTGGCTCCAAGCACGTTAAGGGGATAATCACTCAATAATCCATTTGGCCAGAGGTACAGAAGGACTGGAATATGGTTATTGGTGCTGTTGTTACTGCCCTCACCTTCTTGTTATGGCCCTTCATAAAAACGAGCAACAGACTTTGCTGCCTTTTTTTTTTTTCCTTCATTAGGGTGCATTTTTTTTTTATTGCTCCCCTAAAGAAGCGATGTCAGAGTTGCTGTTTGGGGCATGAGGCCACTGGGGGATGATTCCATGTTCTCTCTCTCCCATGCTTTCATTTTGCCTGGCCTGTGGATTTAGGAAGGAGGGCAGGAGTGTCCTGCCAAGCCTGGCTGTCCTGGGGCTCTGGAACAGGAGAGCTGAGCTTTTACTGGGGTTGGTTTGAACGTGGACACGGGTAAATTATTGTTCCTTCAAGAGGATGTTGCCTGGGCTCTTCCATCAAAGAAGGAAAAAATGTCAGTTGTGTGTGTTGGTTGGAGGCTTCAGAGGAGGAAAAACTTTTATTTTGACTTCCATGAGAAACAGGAGGAATTTCCTCTCATTCCCAGCACAGGAGGAGACAGGGAACTCTGTGCAGCAGAGGGGAGGAGTTGCTATACAGATATTTTTCCCAATTGAAGCAATATTTCCTGCTTGCTTCTGAGTAAGTTTAGTTTTAGCACTGATGGGGGCACTTTGTGGGCAGAAGGGGCTGTCTGATCTCGGGGGGAACACAGTGTTTGGTCACCTTTTATGCTTCCAGGCAGCCCCCTTGGTGCTTGAAAGACACGAGTGACCCTCTGAGTTGGGTGCCTGGAGGGTTCCTTAATTTCTAGAGGCTCAGGAAACCAGGAGGTTCCCCTGGAAATTCTCTCCAGGCAGTGTGGGATCTGTAGCAAGAGTGAGAACAACCCCCAGTTACAATTTCATGCCCTCATGCACAAGCACTTTTATTTTAAAGGCCCCTAAGTAGAAAATAGGGGTTGGGTTGGTACAAACGCCCCAGGGCACTGCTGGTGCAGATCCCACTTAATTCCCAGTGATTCCCAGGGAACAGGAGCACTTCCTGACAGGGAAGGGATGTGTTCTGCAGCCCTGAATTAAAAGCAACATGTGCAGAGAGTGGGATCCTCTCCCCCCATGGGCTGTGAGCAGAACCCATGATGCAAAAGCTGCATTTGCTTGGGATGGGTGGAAAAACTCGGATCCATTCCCAAACTCCAAGTGATCATCTGGGGTGATTAGAGGAGGATAAACTGAGCTGGTTCTGCTCTCCATTGGATGCTTTTATTAAAGCTGGTCCAGGCATTTCCTGGAATTTTCCTGAATATTTCAGGAGGCAGCTTTAATTAAACTGAGGCATTAATTAATATAAAGAGCAGCGTCACTTCCTCAGTTCTGTGCATGACAGCTGAATCCTTAATCCTGGAACCTTTTATTTGCAGTAGGCAGGAGGGATTGCTCCCCCAGCTTGCCCAGACAGTGGGTTTGATGCCCAGGGTGGGTCAGTGCTGCTTTGCTGGCGTTCAGACTTGCCCTGGCATCGTGGGCATCAAGAGTGGGCATCAAGAGTGTGAGCTCTGCCAGCAGCTGGGAAATTTGCTTTAATCAGGTTCTAAGGCAGAGCCCGTCAGATCCCATCAGTCAGAGCTCAGTCTGTGGGAAATAATATTTAGGTTTGCTAAATCAGGGCCAGAGTAGGAGTTGGGAAGTTCCTTGGCTGCCTCTGGGGCTGCTGATGGGGTTGAGGAGGAATTTTTTGGGCTGGCAGTAAAAATGCTCAGGGGGAGGATGGGGGGCCCCAAAATGAAAGATCTGATTTTGCTCTGCAGGTGCTTTTATCAAATATGAGGAGAGCAAATGCCCTGAATCAAACACACACTTAGAGGTGTTCTTGGAGGTCCCAGTGCTTTGTATCCCAGGAGGTCCTTTGCCCTCCCTGGCAGAAAATCTGGCTCTGCACAACAATGTGGGATGAACCTCGGAGTGTAAGGGGCTTGAAACTTCCTTTTTTCCTGTTTATCTCGTGCTGCTCTTCCCCCTGTGATCCAGCTTGAACACCTTGGATCTCCAGTGACACCGAGTTCCTTCAGTGCCTGCTGCCCCTGTGGTTTGTGAAAGTCTGGTTTGAGGGCAGAGCAGGGATTGCACCTGAATTTCTGGCCTTGGGAATGGCAGGATGATGAGGTTGCTTTAAAGCCAAGTGTCCTGTCTGGAAATCTGCTCAGAAACCACCTTGGCCAGGGGTGAAGGGGAGGGTTTGTGAGTTGTAAAAGCCCCAGAGCAGGTGTTGGTGAGCAAGGTGTGAAGCAGAGGAGGTGGTTTGAGGTACAATCAGTAAAGAGCTCCAGTTCAGCTCAGCCAGAAGGTGTTCAGAGCCTGGGGTGGGTTTGCCCAGGATTTGTTGAACCCTGTTTGTCCCACCCCGTGGGACTGTGGTGGCTCCAGAGCAGGGATGGGGGGGGGGGGGGGGGACCCTGCTCCTGTTTTTTTTTTCCAGGATAATGAGGTTCCAGCTGCCTGGCACGGGGAGTGTGACCTTGCTGTTGTTTCCTTGCAGGTTGACAGGGTTCCAGCTGCCTGCCCCCGTGGTCAGCTCGGGGGCTCTGCTGTCCCTGTGGCTCGTCAGCGACTACGCCGTGAGCGCCCAAGGCTTCCAGGCCACCTATGAGGGTGAGTGTGCCCAGTGTGCCCAGGAACCACAGTTCTCTCTGCCCACATTTGCCTTGTGGGGATGTCAAACCAAGGGGTGAAGTCTCTACCAAGCCCTGTGCCCGTGTCTCGTTCCTGGAGAATTTAATGCCCATTTTTTTCCACAGAATTACAATTGTCGGTTCCTTCCGAGTGCTCAAAACATCCTTAAAATCTTATTTAATTCCCTGGAATGCCCAGTGCCTCCCTCAGGGCGGGGAGTTCCACACTGGGTGTGAGGACAGGAGCACCCTCCTGTCTCACAGGCCTCTGAACACCCAGTTTACAGCCTGAGGAGTCAGGGCTGCTCTGGGCAGAGGGTGTAAATGGTCTGTTGAGAACAGTTTCTGGGCAATGGCATGGAAGGCTCTGGAATACACAGGTTTGGGTTACACCCATGCAGTGATGAACTGGTGCCAGCTGTTCCAACTAGGACAGGATGTCAAACCAAGGGGTGAAGTCTCTACCAGGATCTGTGTCCATGCCCATGTTCCATCCATGGCAGGAGCATCTTGTTCCTGGAGAATTTAATGCCTTTTTTTTTACAGAATTCCAATTGTCGGTTCCTTGAGTGCTCAAAACATCCTTAAAAGCTTATTTATTTCCCTGGAATGCCAGGGAGGATGGGTGGTGTGGGTTGGCAGTGGGTTACAGCAGGAGCAGTGTCTGTGCAGCCACTGGGATATCTGAATTCCTGCACTTTTATTTTACTTTCTCTTCCCTTCTTTGTTATTTTGCTTTTCCCTGCTCTTTTTTCCCCGAGTACTTAAATTCCCCTCCTGTGTTTCTGGTCATGCAGAATTTGGTGGCTGTGGGGGTGAAGAGCTGCATGTGCAGGCTTGAAAGCTTCAGAAAACCCTGGACAGTGGAAGTCCCCAGATATGGGGAAAAAAACAAGTTTGTAGTAGAAGGCAGTTCATTTTTTCCTGGGTAAATGACAGATTAACCACGTTAAAATTGAAGTTACACTGATGTTGATTATTGAACCTACAATACCGTTCATCTCCCGGTAAATGTTTTTCTTTAGAGTCCTTAAAATCATCATTAATGCCCAGAACTTCTTGGTAATGAGTCCAAGCAGCCAATTACCCAAGACATTAAGCCAAGCAAATGCTCTCATTGACACCATCGTGGAGCCCTCAGCGTTTTGTGCACTTGATAATTAAATTCTGCTCAAACACCCTCTGGTTTCTGGTTCAAACCTTTGCTCCTGTGACACCAGGATGTTTCTGTTGGTCCTGACCGGTGTGGGCAGGGGCTCAGAGGGGTCAGCAGTGGTGGTGAAGCTCATCCCAACATCATCCCACTCATCCCAACATCATCCCACTCATCCCACCATCATCCCACTCATCCCTGTGAAGTCAGAGACCAGCTCTGCTTATTCCCAGGGTCTGGGATTGCTGGGAATGCTGGTGGTGGGAGCTGGGATGGGTGAGCAGAGCAGGGTGAGGGGGATCCAGGTGTCAGAAAAGTCTCACTGGGGTAAGAAAAGGCAAATCCCGTTTCTCATTTCCCAAATCTCTGCCAGAACAGCTGCCAATCCCTGCCTTTAGCACGTTGAGCACATCACTCCCAAATTCTGAGGACACGTGGCTGCTTTGGCGCTTTCCTGACATTTGGAGTTGATTTTTTGGCATTTACACACAGTTACTTGTACACTCTGTGATGGTTCTTTATTGCAGCAGGTAATCTTGTACAAAGGCTCGGGCCAGGGTTGCCCTTTAGTCACATATATTTTAAACCATCTGAAGTTTATTTGACTGGTGATTAGGGGGATTTAAAGGGTGTAACCGAGGCGGAAAATAAATGTATTTAAAACTTAACCGGAGCCGGAGTGACACGGGAGCATCAAAGCGTTATTTCGAGGGAGGGACAGGGTTTCACTGGCTGAAGGTGCCACCCTGAGCCTGCCCCAAAACAGACTCTTTGGGCTGTTAAAACAGACTGTTTGTGTTGTTAAGGAGGGCTAAAGGAGGTGATGAGTGTGGGTTTGATCCGAGGGCTGTGCTGCTGCTGTAATGCAGTTGCAGTTCGTTGTAATCTATGACTCGGTGAATGGCTTGTGATTCCATAATTCACGTTTAAAGGCAGAACAATGCTCAGAGTCCTGCAGTAAATGGCTCCGTTATGATCCCTATCAAAGCCCGCTCATTATTCTCCTCCTCCCTCGGAGCAATCGTCGGGAAACGGCACCAAAAGAAACGGAATTTTAAAATTGGAACGAAAGCTCTCGGGAACTTTTTTTTTTTTTTTAAAAAAAGGAGGACAGGAAGAAAGTGCCGTTGTTGGAGGCATCAAAGTGACACGAAACCGTTGTTGCTCACACTGATGTCTGCGCTGCCCCGGCCCTCGGGGGGATGCAGCAGTCGAGGTTGGTGTTCTCTGAGTTAAAATCTTCCTGGCTCGAGTTAACATCATTCCTGCACGATGACACCAAGCTGGGGGGGAGTGTGGATCAGCTGGAAGGCAGGAGGGCTCTGCAGAGGGACCTGGAGAGGTTGGAGAGTTGGGCTGATTCCAAGGGGATGAGGTTCAAGCAGGCCAAGGGCCGGGTCCTGCACTTTGGCCACAACAACCCCCGGCAGCTCCAGGCTGGGCCAGAGGGGCTGGAGAGCAGCCAGGCAGGAAGGGAGCTGGGAGTGGGGATGGACAGGGAGCTGAACAGGAGCCAGAGTGTGCCCAGGTGGACAAGAAGGCCAATGGATCCTGGCCTGGCTCAGGAACAGTGTGGCCAACAGGTCCAGGGAAGTGATTCTGCCCCTGGACTCAGCACTGGTGAGGCCACCCCTGGAGTGCTGTGTCCAGTTCTGGGCCCTCAGCTCAGGAAGGACATTGAGGGGCTGGAGCAGGTCCAGAGGAGAGCAACGAGGCTGGGGAAGGGACTGGAGCACAATTCCCATGAGGAGAGGCTGAGGGAGCTGGGGCTGTTCAGCCTGGAGAAGAGGAGGCTCAGGGGAGACCTCCTCACTCTCTGCAACTCCCTGACAGGAGGGGGGAGCCAGCTGGGGGTTGGTCTCTTTTCCCAGGCAACCATCAGCAAGACAAGAGGGCTCGGGCTTCAGCTGTGCCAGGGGAGGGTTAGGTTGGAGATTAGAAAGAATTTCTTTGCAGAGAGGGTGCTCAGCCATTGGAATGGGCTGCCCAGGGAAGGAGTGGATTCTCCATCCCTGGAGGTGTTTAAGGACAGACTGGATGTGGCATCAGTGCCATGGGCTGGGAACCACAGCGGGGTTGGATCAAGGGTTGGACTGGATGATCTTGGAGGTCCCTTCCAACCCAGCTGATTCTGTGATTCTCTGATCTCTTAGATAACATCTCTTAAAGCAGTTCCTTGGTGACCACACCGAGGTGTCCTGCTCAGACCCGGAGATTTGCTGCTCCTGCTTCCTTTCTGCTGGTTTGGGCACACCCAGCTCAGCTGGGAGAGGGACAGTCTGTGTGCAGGGGTGGCAGATGTGTTGCCACTGGGAGACTCCCAGCATCACTGAGGTTGGAAAAGCCCTCCCATGGAGCCCATGGATCCACCCTGTGCCCGATGCCCACCTTGTCACTGAGTGCCACCTCCAGCCCTTCCTTGGGCATCTCCAGGGCTGGGGACTCCAAACCTCCCTGGGCAGCCCCTGCCAAGGCCTGACCAACCTTTCCATAAAGAAATTCCTCCTCCTGTCCAACCTGACCCTTCCCTGGCACAGCCTGAGGCCGTTCCCTCTCCTCCTGAGCCCTCTCCAGTCAGGGAGTCGAGGAGAGAACTTGGAGCTGCTGGGAGAACACGAGGGAACAGAGGGAGTTTCCCCCAGTCCCCAGGGGTGTTTTTCCAGCCCCAGGTGCCAGAGGTGGGATTTGAGGAGCAGCAGCTCCAGGGCTGTTGTCCTGCTTCACTTTCCTCTTGGCCTCGTGGGGTTTTTTTTGACTTTCTGATATTCTTGTGCTGCTGGATCTCCCTTAATCCTCTTTTCCTCATTGTCTGCCTTCCTCATCTTTCTTCATTTAGTGGCTGTGTGTTGCCAGCTTGTTCCTGTCTGCTCTCATTCCCCTGCTCCTCATGTTCTCCCATCTCTCGCTGTCTGTTGTGATTTTTCTCCAGATGCCAAATATCATTTCCCAGCTCAGTAAATAAGAGGAGTTTTCTCCTCATTCCTCCCTGGAAAGCAGCTTTAGGAGGAAACAAAGCAAGGAAAGGCTTCTCCTTGGCCAGGTGTGGCCGTGGTTGTACCTGAGGGGCTGCACATCTGGGGGTTCGAGGCACTGAAATAAAATTAAAGAGATATAAATAAAATTAAAGAGGTATAAATAATATTAAAGATATATAAGTAATATTAAAGAGGTGTAAATAATATTAAAGAT